GTGTGTGTGTGTGTGTGTGTGTGTGTGTGTGTGTGTGGTGCTGGGATTGAATCCAGGGCTTTGTGCATGTGAGGCAAGCACTGTAACAACTGAGCAATATCCCCAGCCCCAAATTTGTGGGGATATTTTTTATAGCAGCCAATGAATATGCCCTGTTTGACCCTTTAATTTCTAGAAAGAAATCTTGCAAATCTCATTTGAATTTCTCCATAGTTAGGCTACATTTCCCAGTATCCCTTGCAGCTAGCTGTGGCCATGTGACTGAGTTCTGGCCAATAGAATTCAGTCAGAAGTGGCATTGGCCACAGACCTGACCAACAGAAGCTCTGTGCTCCCTTCCAGGGGAGCTCCCTCTGGCTGGGTGCAGACTTCCAAGGGAAGAGAGATGCCCAGGTGCCTTACTGAACTGCGGTGTGGTGAGAAATGACGCTGTGGGTCGGTGTTCCAGCACTCAGCACACCTTGAAAACACAGGGACATAATCAGAGACAGATCTGCTCTGATATTCATGGGCAAGGATGTTCTCCTAGCCCTTGTCATTCACTCTGATTATGGAAATCATCCAGTTTGCACTCTTCTTTTAGTATTCAGGTTAGCATGACCCTTTAAATCTCTGGGCATGTATGATTGCGCAAATGGTGTGACTCTACATGGTGTACAACCAGAGAAATGAAGAGTTTATGCTCCATTTGTGTACAACGGAATGAAATGCATTCTGCTGCCCTGTATAACTAATTAGAACAACAACAACAACAAAAATCTCTGCACAGCTCTTCTTTCTGGGGTGGCTTTAGGAATTTCTAAGGAAACCTGCAGTCTCCCCAGGTCTGCCCCACGAGTTGCTCCATCCAAAGGGTCACTTCTAGCTGTGGTGGCCCGAAAACGTCATCAGTGTGCCTTGTGCAGTCTGAGCTGTCCAGGCCATGCTGCTGATGCTTGTTCTCTGACCCTGAATCTGCCTCCAACAGTGGCTCCTTGAGGTCCCCCTCGCCTGAGACGCTTAGCGATGCTGCATGCTCATGCTGGGCCCTGTGTGCTGTGCAGAAGTGGTGAACAAGACACACGTGGTCCCTGACTTCCAGGAGCTTCCACCTAGCAGGTGGAAAGGGACATTGACACAAACACGTGTTTAATCAGACCAATGACGCATGCAATGAGAAAAAAGTGGAGGGTCCCAGGAAACGGGTAACAGCAGCATAATGAGTGGGTCATCCAAACCAGGAGATTTTTGAGGATGAAATAAGGTACTTTTGATAGTCATGTTAGAGCAGCGGGTGGACACCAGACTGTCTCAAGAAACCAGGACACAGAATCACCGAGAGAGAACCCAACTTCACCTCTGATGGGCCCTCTCTGACCAGCCCCTCTCAGTTGTTGGCACAACCCTACCAACAGCTCCACATACACTGCACAGCCTAGAAAAGGCGACACAGCACCGCATCTCTCCGTGGCTTGAGTGACTCTTGGCCCTGCGGAAACAAGCCCCCCGCCCCCCCCAAGGCCAAGTGGGCTGGAAACCAGCTCCCTGCACTGAGTAACACAAGGCTAAACAGACCTCAAGGACTTGGGTCCCACAAATAGAATCGCCTGAGAATTCCAGGGTGATATGCTGCAGCATGCTTGTGAGTATGGGTGCAACCTGGGCATCTGGAATGTTAAAACCTCCCCAGGTGATTCTGATATACAGCAAATTTCGAGAATCTCTGCCATGAGCCAACCTGTTTTGAATCATGGCTCCGCCACATATTAGCTGTATAATCTTGGGCATGTTACTTAATCTGCCAGTGCCTTGGTTTCCTCATCTGTAAAATGGGTACAATAAGATGTGTTGTGGATATATATATGTATATAATTTCAAAAAGGTGGTATGGAGGAATTGAACTGCGACAGTTTGGCTGGGCACAAATCACAAGCCACTGAAGCAGGAACAAACTTTATTTCCAAACTCCCCCGAACATCACGCACGGTGGCCTTCTCCTGGGAGACACCACTCCAACCGGCAATCCCTCCTCCAGCACTTCCCCAACCAATGCAAACTCCCCAGGAATCCCTGCGAGAACTCCAAAGTAGCAGGCCAGGGCCGACAGCAGGGGTCTAATATACAATTGAATACACAGCTTAACATAACCATCATCATCTCAATGGCTTGCTGGCATCACCTCTCAACCACTCCATTCTGGCAAAAAATGCCATGTGTCATCCCAACTCGGCTGTGGCCCTCAACATTGAATCAAAGGCCTCGCTTATGCTAAGCTAGTGCCCCACCACCAAGCTCCATCTCCAGACTGTGCTGTGGGGATCGAGTTAAAAATTTTACTGCCAAGTTCCTTTCCCAGAGTCTAGGACAAGGAAACACCAGAGTGAGAATCTGAACCTAGACTGTGTCTCCCAGTATGAGCAGGGGCTGGTGGGATCCCCAGCTGCCAACAGGCAGCCCCTGCCCCATGCTGGACCCTGTGCTGCCCACTGTGAGGGCTTGGGCCTAGCTAGTCCCAGACTGGTCTGACTGGAACCTTCGCCTAGCCCCCACGAGTCGAAGGGTCTCGAGAAAGCTATTTAATCTTCTATGCTTCAGCTTCCTTAATGCTAAAGTGGATCTAAAGTGGAGTTCTGTTGTTTCTTGCTGCATGGGGATGGGACCCAGGGCTTGCACAGGCTAGGGAAGCACTCAGCCACCAAGCCACAGCCAGCCTCTTAAAATGGGAGCTTTTACATGGGATTACAGGAAGGATTAAGTGAGTTAATTCTCACTAAAAGGTCTTGGCTTCCCGTCCACACTCACCAAGTATGAGGTTTTTAATGTCTCACTTCCAGGCTTGTTTCTCTAATCTCCCCATGAACGGCAGAGGCGACGGCTGGGTGAGCCTTGTCTCCCGGGATCTCGTGTTCAGCACAGTTCTTGAGAGTCACTGACCTGTAAACACTACGTAAAAGAACAAGCGAGGGGTTAAGAGGAGATGGCCATATCATTTGTATTTTCATAAAGGTATACTCTCATTGTAGGCAACACTATTACAATAAAAGATCATAAAAATTCAGTTTGCATTTCTTTATTAGATAACAAATTCTCTCAATATAGTCTCCATCATAAAATCCTTCTTTCCCCGCTTTTTTCTCTTGTCTGAACCCTGCCTGCAGTGAGCACCGACCCCTGTCTTTGTGATTCCACCTCAAGTGTCCTGGGGGAGGAAGGTTACCGCTGCTCATGGAGTCTACACCTGGGAAGGGCGCCGGCCTCCATTCTTCCTCCACAGAGTTCCTAAGGGTTGGGGACAGGCGTGTCTGATCCACAAAGTCTTGGGGATGGGACCCTTATAACTGGTCAGGGTACCTGGGCTGGAAGTTAGACTCAGTGAGGACTGGTCTTTGGGCACCTTCTCTTGGAGTTTCTTGCTCTTGTGTCTTGCTCCAAATTCTGAGCTCCCACAGAGGCACTTCACCACCTTCCACAAAAGAGCTCTCAGCGTGGGTGGGAAGGACGGAGCTGGGCCCAGCTGGCCTCTGGCCTCTGCTGGCCTCTGCTCCCTTGCCTGGTGCACTTCCTTCTTGGCTTGGTCCTATTGTGGGTCTTTGAGGCTGGGACTATGCAACAGCCCTCAATTCATCCAACAAGAGGCACCATTGCTGGTGAGGGTGACCTCTTTCAAAAAATGGGAATAATGTTATTTCTGCTTGTCCAAACCTACGTGCTCATTGTAAAAATAAAATAGACAGGTACAACGTAGAGGGTGAAAATCACATACATAAACATCACCATATTTTTACCGGTAGGAAAAAGAGAAAGGGAGACAGACTTGCCGGCTCCGGCAGCCTGGGTTTCTGACTGGAGGTGACGCTGAGGCCCATTACCTCCACCCCCCATCTTCTCACTTTGTTGTCAACAAAACATCTGACCTGCCAAGGGGTGGTTTAAATTTTGCTAAAAACAGAGCAATGACACTCAGACAAAAGCAAAGTAGCTTCTGTCTATTTTGGTCTCTTTAACACTAAGCACAGATTTCTCTGGAAGGGGCTGGAGCTGGCTGGTCTCCCTGCACAGAGAGCCATAGCTCAGCGAGCACTGGGCTTCTGACTTTCCTGACCTCCAGTCTTGCTCCTCATTCTTGATGACAAAACACATTCAGTGCCCTTGATTGATCCAGCAGAGAACCTGCAGTATTGGAGGACGGATCTCTCCCAGCCTGCCCGGGCCTCGTCCTGAGAAGAGACCTCCCTGTCCTGGCTGAGCCTGGAGGCTGTGCACATCCAGAACCCCTCGGCCTCTGGAAAAGGCTGTTTACCTGGGCCATTGAGGCCTACTCTTTTCCTGCTGCCACTTTCCCCGATCCTGTTGTATGTGACCATCACTCTCCGGTTCTTTTATTTGTCTCCTGTCTTTTGTTGCTCCTGGTTGCCAAGCTGCTGGGTTTTGGGGCTGGAAGGGGTCATGGACCTACCTTCATATTGTAAGATGAGGTCCCTGCCCCTGTCAGGCAGGTGGAGGGTTATCTTGCTAGTCTGGATCAGAGACGGGCCTGGAAGCCCCTTCTCCCTCCCAAGCCCAGGACCTGTACCTGTTGTCCACTGGTGGGATGGTTTCAGGGGCACTTGGCTTGCGAACATGCTTAGGAGCATGCATGTCTTGGGAAGTGAGTGTAAGAGACTCAAGGAGCAGGTTATCATTAATACCCTCCCCCATTTTCATGGCTTGAATCAGTTCAGGCTTTTTGCTTTTTCTGAGATCCATAACACTTGTTTTCAGGATTAAATTATCTCATTTAGAGGCCTAATGGAAGTGGATGTCCTTACTTGTGAAGAATTGGAGACATGGAAATTGGGCCGCAGGCCCAAGCAGCCAGCTGACAGCATGCACCACGGGGCAGGGATCACCCAGGCGAGAAATGTCAGCACTTAAACCTACAGCCTGTCACTGGTTGTAGAGGCTGGGGTGCTCCTCCAAGGACTTTTCTGGAGTCTAAATAGAAGCATCCAAGACACACCGGAAGGGGGTTTCTTGAAAATCATGATGCCATAGGCCAAGCCCCCATTTGTTTTCTTTTTTGAAATGGGGTCCTGTTTGCTGCCGAGGCAACTCCTGGATTCAAGTGATCCTCCACCTCAACCTCCTGAGTGGCGGGGACGACGGGAATGAGCCCAAACACCCAGCTGTCAAGCCCCTTCCTCAACCTTCAGGCTGGGGACTGAGCTCTCACCAGCCCCTTCTGGGTTTTACCTGAATCACAGTTTGTACCAGAAATACCCTTAGAAATTAACCTTCTTCATGTTCCCCATGCTGTGGGTGGTTTACACTATCATGAGTATTACCTGAATAGAAAATCCAGACCCTGAATTCCTGTCTTCCTGCTCTCCCCATTCAGGGGTTCTGGGGTGAGTCTGGGCATGTTCATTTTTAAACAGTTTTCTGGGTGATCCTGACCATCTGCCATGTTTGGACTCTCACAGGTTCACTCACTACCTTCACCTAAACACCTAATGCAGTAGGTGGCTCTCCCAAAGTCACAGCATTTATAGGCAAGGAAACAGAGGAAATGGCTTTCCAGACACAGGAAGGAAAAGCACCCTGACTCCGCGCCATTCTGAGGATTGAACCCAGGGTCTTGCATCTGAGATGAATCCCCAGCATTTATATATATATATATATATATAAAAATTTATATATATTTATATTTATATATATTTATAAATTTATATATATATATATATATATATAAAATGATCTTCAGTTTCTTTTTTTTTTTTGGTTGTTGTTGTCAATGGATCTTTTATTTATTTATATGTGATATGTGGTGCTGAGGCTTGAACCCAGGGCCTCACACATGCCAGGCAAGTGCTCTACAACCGAGCCATGACTCCAGCCCTAAATCCCCAGCTTTTTTAAAAAAACTTTTGAAACAGGGTCTTGCTAAGTTGCTGAGGCTGGCCTCAAAAGTGTGATCCTCTTGCCTCAGCCTCCCGAGTCTCTAGGATTAGAGGCATGCACACCACACCTGGCAGGAATAGAAGAATTGCTTTGCTGTAGCTGTGGCTTCTTGCAAAAGTGGCTGGGGCAGAGCTACCTGCAGCCAAAGTTGAAGGGAGGGCCCTTGCCTGCACTGGTACCTGCTGCAGGGTTACAAGATAGGGAGGGGCAGGATGAGAAGGCACTGGCAGGAGTTATTTTCATGCTTTTGGTGAGAATAGGGTCTTTCTGGGACCCTGCAGCCCAGAAACCTCTGCTCTGACTGTGCTGCTATTCCCTCTGCCAACAGAAAGCAGGGGGAGGGAGGGTGAAGCCCCCTCTGGTGTTTTGATGCATTGCCCTGAGTTCAAATGGTAGAATCTGGCTCTGTGGGATGTATAACTAAATGAATATTTGAAATGGTAATTAATGCAGGAACTTTCATTAACCACTTGTTATAGGCTGGAACTGCAGCATTCACTCTCATGTGGAAAGGGGCACAGTAGGATTTTGACAGGGCCTGTCACATTCTGTGAACCAGAATGTGTCCAAACCAGGGAGACCACCCTGAGAAATGGTACCTGTTAGAGACCTGCCTAAGGCTTTAGATGAGCCAGACTCATGGGGGTGCTTGCACCGGAGTCATAGAGCCTATCAGCGCAACACTGGCCTGGCACTCACTATACAGTAAGTAAGCACCTCCACCAGTTAATTTTACCCTTCATGATGGGTAGTATTATCCACATTCTGGAGTTTGAGAAACATTTCTGAGCTAGTTAAGGGTCATAGAGTTGGAAAACAATATAGCCAACCCTTCAATCCACCTGGCACCAAAGCCTGCAGAGAGGAGGCTCTATCCAGTGGCTCTATGTGCCTTTCCCTAGGCATCCTGGTTATTCAAGGCAGGACTGCTTGTTGTATGTGGCTTTATATTCCCGGCTGTACTAGCACAGTTCTAGCAAAGCTGACTGAATTGAAACAGAAAAATGAAGTCCCAAGGGACTTGTCTCCATGCACACAAATCTACAGCTTCCATCGTTCACATGCAAAGCTGTATCAAAATAAGAATAAACTGCTCAGAAAATAAAATGGATTAAACAAAAAATTGCATCCTATACAATTTTTTTTCACTTGGTTTTCTATGGAAAAATTAAAAAAATATGATCGATACTGTGGGATACCGTGTGCCAAAAATAATTTTTTATCATATTTTCAATGGTTTTTTCGGGAGCTTTCGTTGCCTTTTCAAAACCTGGAAAAAGCAAGGTAGTCGATTCATTTAATTTAGAAGCGTGTACCTCCATCTGAATAATAAAAACCTTTTTAAAAGAAGTAATTCAACGGACATAGTTTCACTACGACTGACTTTCGCAGCCCGTTTCTGCGGTGAACCAACGAAAGTGGCGCCGCGGTAACCAGGGTAACCGGATGGGAACTCTGGATACTCGTCCGCGTTCAGGGAAGCGCGGCAAGAACGCTCCCAGAGGCTTGGCCCGCCGGCCACGCCGTAGACCGCGGTGCACGCCGGGCCTTGGCAATATGGCGTCCTCCTTGATGTGCTGATGAGAGGAGTTTCACTGTAGCTCCAAGCCAGAGGGCAAAACTCCCCTAGCGCAGCAAGCCCAGGTTGCCCGTTCTCTCCGCAGGTCGGTGTCGCCCGCTTCTCGGGACTCGTCCTCCGGCAGGAGAAAGCCACGGGGCCGAAGGCCAGCGCCAGCCAGGCCGCGGGGACCCGGGGCTGAGGAGCCGGCCGCAGGCGAGCACGATGGGCCGGTCCTGGCTCCTGCCGCAGCAGCTCCGGCGAGTGCGGGACCCGCAGGGCTGAGACTGCTCGCGCGAGACCCGAGGCGCGCCGAACCTGTTCCCCTCGGCCGGAGGCCTCGGTCCGGTTGGCGCAGTCGGCGAACCCGCACCAAGGGCGGGCGGCCTGCCCGTCCCTGTCCTCGGGTCTGCCGAGGCGTTGGAGGCCGAGAGCGGGGTCATCGCGAGGCCTGGAGGCCCTCGGCCCTTGACAGCTGGGCTCGCAGCCCCTCCGGGAGCTGAGAGCCTCGGAC